TCCAAAGAAGTGATCTCCAAGTTTTTAATTACTTTCTTGCTCTTGCAGATTGTTAATGTTGCTATTAGTGCAGGAGGGCATCAAATTCTCAAATCATATTTGAGTCAGTGGCTCTATGGAGACAAAACTCTTTTAATATTGCAGAAATTCATTAATGATAATGTTTAACATATTATCTTTGCTTTATCTAAAAATCAGGAAAATAACAAAACATGGTATACAAAATGTTAAATGAATTCAAAGTTAAAATATTTACCTTTACTAATTAACCCTTGAGTAATCAACATACTTGTTGCAGCCAAAGGCACAGCTAAAAGAGAAACAAGAACTTGTCAACATCAACAAAAGATTTTGTCTTAAGTTCATTAGGAGACAAATGAGTATCAGTAAAACCATCCAGGAAGTAAATCACACAACTAAGACTTTTAAGAGATTGTTCCATTTTTAAAAGCCGTACTATATACAGTCAGTGGAAAAATTAAAGAAGTATTTTAAATTTAAGAAAACATCACAAAATATTAAACAATGTAATTCAAGAACCACCTAGATTTTGGTTTGAAAATAGCCGGCCATTCATTAATATCATTAAGTAAGACAACAAAGTAAAAGTAACTCAAAGTTACTTCTCAAGTTAGGCAAAAAAAATCAGCAAGGGAAAGGCCAGAAGTAAATTACAAATAAGAGCCACCACAGAGTAATGACTAAATTCCACATTATGTCATTTGTTTTACCACATTTCTCTATAAAGTAGATAATATTACCACCCTTTAAAAGATAAGGAAATAGAAGCTTAGAGATGTCAAGTAATTTTCTTAAGGCCATACAGCTAGTTTGATAGCAGGTCCCACATTCTCACGAAATCTGTCTGACACCAGATCTCGAGTTTTAAGCTCTGTATTACACTGTGTCAATCAAAATACAAAATGTATTTGACTCTAATCAAACGGTAGCCAGGGCAAGAATAAAAAAGCATGTATTTTAAATACTAATGTTCTTTCTTCTAAATCAGTTAACTCCTTAAAATGATACAATAATATTACATCAATAGATAATGCCTATAACCCAGAGTGAAAAATACAACACTCTCATCATAATCTCAAAGGACATTATAACTTAACAACAGCTATGAATCACTGTCCTGTACACCAGTACTAACAGAATTTTCGCAATGATGGGAGTTGGTCTTCAGCTGAGCAATCTTACAAGCAACTTGGTCTGGGAACTTGACCGGTAAGCCGTTTCCTACATTGGTATAAGTGGCTCACTGCTCCTGGACTGTCTGTATAAATCCTACAGTTCATTCTTTCCTTCTAGGAGTCTGGAATTTTGGTACCTGCTAGGCTTGGAGTGCCTATGTGATCCGCCCCCAATAAAAACCATGGGCGCGGAGTCTCTAACGAGCTTCCCTGGTAGATAACACTTCACACATATTATAACTGCCTGTTATAACTAAACACATCCTTTGTGTGTGACTCAGTGTGTCCACTGAGAAGACTCTCGGAAGGCTTGTCTGTCTTCCTCTAGACTTCACTCCATGCTCCCTTTCCTTTTCCTGATTTTGTCTTGTATCCTTTCATTGTAAATTATTTTAAATATAAATAGCAACA